CTGGGCACTAGGTCCCGGGAGCTGGCCAGGGCGGGGGAGTGAGGAGGCGGCAGGGAGCGCATGCAACAAAGCTCACCCAGACAGTGTGGTCTGTGGCTGCCCTTACAGTGCTCCACATGGGGCTGAACCCCACCCAGGGCATCCCGCACCACACTCCAGCCCACACCTGCCAGCCTGGCCCCAGGCAGCGCACACAGGTTACTGGCAGGGCTGCTCCCAGTATGGTTGCTACTCAGTTCCCCTGACCACCAGTACTGGTTACTCCTCCTGCTTCTGCAGCATCACTCTGGGACAGAAGGAAGCTTCAGCTGGGTGGGTGGCCAAGTGGGTGGAAGGCAACCAGAAGCTGGAGCTGGAGCCCTGCATGCTGGGACAGGAGATTCCCAGCTGCCTTCCATACACTCAGCTGCCTGTAGCAGTTGAGTGGAGTGGAAGGCAGCAGTTGAGTGGAGTGGGTGCAGAGCACTGTAGGAACAGCCGCAAGCCACATTCAATTGGCAGGTGTCCCACTGACAGCCCAGATCCAATCAGTCAGCAGGCCAGATCTGGCCTGGGGGTCATATTTTGTCCACCCCGGTGTATCAGTTAAATGAAATTGACTTATTTGGTCAGGCCTTGGACTAGTACAGTTTTTTTTATTAGACACTGGGAGAACACACAAAATGAAAACTTGGCAATTGAATATCCCACCACTTCAATATGACCAGGAAAAAACTGGAACTATCAGAGGAGAAATCAGGCTGTATTTCACTGAGAATAATACAAATCAGATTTAAACGAATCTTTTAAGGCAGGGCTGGCCAACTTCTTAGTAGCTGGGGGCCACACATCAAAGGTTTTGCTAGTGGAGGCCCCCCCAGCAGGGGCCATGGGCCCCTGGGGCTGCACAATGCAGGCTCCCTTCTGCTGCACCACAAGTCCCAGTGTTCTGCCCCTTGCTGCACAACATGGTCTGGCTTCCTCACCCCTCTGTTGCACTGTATGCCCGGGCTTCCCCCACTACCACCACTGTAGCACACACATCTGGGCTCCCCTCTCCTCTCTCCCTTCCCCTCCCCACTGCAGCACACCACATGCTCAGGATCCCCCTGCACTGTGAGCATAAGCATCCTCCGTTTCTACCCTATTTCACTGCATGCCTGGGCACCCCACCTCACACTCAGTCCTCCAGTTTCTCGGGCATCCTGGGTCATGGGATCTTACCAGCCCTGCAGGCTGCACTGCCCCACCCCCAGGGAAGGAGAAGCCACAGGAAAAGGGAGCTGGGAGACCACGGATGTTTCTGCAGCTGGAGCAATGGGGGAGAATGGCAGCCTGGTGGGACCCCAAGGGCTGCAATTTAACCCTTCATGAACCATACAGAACATGCTGTTTTATGGGATGCTTTCAAGTCAATCATTAAGCATAGCCTAATAAATACAGTCTCATCCAAGAAAGAAAATTTGAGAAAGTTTCTGAATATTGAAAGGAAGTGCTAGTTTTATGAGCTAACAGTTAAGAAAAATTTTGGAATAAATCTGAAATCTAAAAGCAGAAGTGAGAAGATAGTGAGCTTTGTATTATGCAGAGTTCTAAGGAAAAAGAAGGGCTGAATCATTAAGCAAGTTACATATAAAGATGAAGAAACACAAAAGCTTAACATAGACCAAAACATAAAGAAAATGTTAGAGACCATATGGAAGAGAAGAAAAGAACACAAGACTTTTCTGAGGACAATGATTTGATTTAAAGGAGCACTGTTGATGGAAGATAAATATGTCTTTGTCTATATTTTAGAAGACTGGATATATCTTTAAAGTTAAATGTTTTATTTGATAAGTTGTTTTTGTTAATAAAAAAGTTAAAATAATTTTCTTTTTAAAGAGATTCAAGTGACTTTAACAAAAATAACATCCACAAAATCCCCACACTACAAGCATCAAAGTTAAGGTGTTGACTTGTGATAAAATAGGAATTTCTTTATATGTAATCAAAATGAGCTTATAAAATGTTTTGTAGCTAACAAACTAGAAGTTCCTTAACTGTTCATTTCTGTGCTGTTATAACTACCTGGGTTTTACAAACAAACAGTATGACAGGTAAATGTATTGTTGTCACTTTATCAATCTTAACTGGTTCCTGAAATGAAGATTTTTAGTTTGGGACATAAATTTCCTTCCCAGAAGAGATTGTGTACTATGATTGGAATTCTCAGGGAGGTCTTAGATCTATAAAGATGTGATAATGATACAAATAAACTTATGTTCTTTTAGTCACAAAAGTTTAAAAATGGCAACCTGATTACATGACAAGGCAGACTGGTTTTCTTTAAACAAAAAATTCATCAGAGAAATTTCCTAACCAGGAAGACAGTTCAGAAACAAAATGTTATATTATGTTAGACCAACCAATGGTTTAGAAGCCTCCAGCTACTGTTTGGGTTGAAACCTGTTTTCAATGAAATATACTTGTATGCTAATCTCAAAAGCAATTTGGCTGTCTCTGACTTTACCAGAAAACTAGATACACATGATAAGATGAAAGTTTACTTTAAGCCATATATATAATTTTTTTACAATGATTAGGTAATGGATTCCAGCATCTGTTGAGTTACCAGCCCTGTTTAATATGAAAACAGAAGTTGTGCTCTGAGTATTTCCTTAAAGAAGTATTGTTCTGGCTTCTCTCAATACGTGTAATCATTTAACTAATTATAAAGTAATAAAGCATATCATTTATTTTTATTAAAAGGCAATAGTTTTTCCCTACTGATTTGCTGGAAATACACCATGCTTTGCATCTGTTTTACTTCTTACTGCAAATATAAGGTTATCTAAAACTAGAAAAAAAAAAAACACCCTGCAATGACATCCCACCCAAACACTGTTTATATTTATACTTTGCCATCAATCTCACTTTCTTAACTCCTTAGAGTGAATTAGAAGAACGATAACTATCTCTGCAGAAAGGGAGCAATATGTAATTAGGACATTAAACAGGAAGCAAAGGAATGTGAAAACAGGTCAAATCTCAACAGCACGACATATGGCAGAAAATATGAGGAAAATATAAAAATACAAGAAAAATTGGCCAGACTGAACAGGGTATTTTAAATATAAATTAATCTTATTACGCTGTAAAAAACGCATATTGCTTTGTTTCATATCATTCAAAACCATGTAGTGGCTAAGATGAAAACAAGCTTTTAACAGACAGAATAAAGAAATATGTTCTCCATTCTTTGATTTAAAGGACCCATCCAAATCCAAAGAATAAAATAACTTTAATTTAAAATTCTGATTTTTTATTTTAGTTTATTTATAGACAACTAGCATCAAGAGAGAAATCACAACAAATGAAGTAAAACAAACTGAGTCTCACCTTGCACTCTACAACGCTCTGATCTGATTCACAAGTAACATAGATTTCATCGACGGCCCGTCTAAGATTGTCAAAAAGAAATGCCCAGTATCGAGCTCTCAGATCAACTTTGCGAGGCTGTCTTGTTTTTGTTGGACTTTTGTCGAAGTTTTTATCTCCAGCTGGTGCTGATGTTACTTTACATTCTCCTGTAGTGCTCTGAAAAAATGAGATACAACATGAAAAACAAAACAAATAAAAGAATGGCAAGGGGTTGGGCTTCTGTATAACACATTTTTTCAACAAATGTAAACATTTTCAAACAAGACATTCTTCAGTGAGACTTGCATCATAGCCTACTGACTGAGTACTTCAAACAATTTTTCTCACCTTAAACAAAAGGGGCAGTTTTGCAGGACCTAACTTCTGTTTCTCTGACATATAATTCAATATTTACATTGCAAACTGCACAGGATATTTTGCTGTGCATGCACATGGGAAAGTTATATTTGCCCCACTACTTGTTCTGACAAGTCTATGTCCAGGAGGTATAAATGCTGTTTTGCTAATAACCACACAAGGTATATTCAGTTATGAAATAAATGTTATTGCAGGCATTATATAGAACTTTTTGTCTCAATTGTTTTCATTAAAATATGATAACTTTAGTGTGCAAGTCCTAAGGTCAGAGAAAAACTGCTGTGGCTGGCCTTTTAATTGATATTTTATGATTTCACTGTAGAGAAGACAGAACTAAATTAGCTGCAAAGAAAAGCTTTAAGACTTTAGAAGCCTCATGTCTTTGCTTGACCAGACCACTTTCTGTTCACCAAATTATTAACCATTACAAGCCAATTCAAGCCCAGTGTAAAGCATGGAATGCCATTTTTAATTGTACTATTCCTGCTTATGCCCTATGTTATTTTGATTCTAAGAGTCATCATTTCCATAACATAACTGTACCTTAAACTTCTACCTGCATATTTAATCAAAATAAATGGACTACATTTGATCTAAGGTGAGAAGAGGCCAAGTAACTGATGTACATAACACTGTTAAATTTGACATCTGTTTTCTTTGGATTCTGATCACCACAAAATTATCTTCATAATTACTGGATCACACAAGGTTTACTATGTGCCCTCTTGGAAGCAGTCATTTATCCCTATGCATCTGCTGATTTTGCATGTTGAATTTCATCCCCTGTCAAAGTGGAGGGTAGGATCTTCCTAGGCTGGTTGATATAACATTAGCCAGTCACAGGAAACATTCAGTTCTGAAGCACATCTCCTTTGCTGATCACTCCAAAGTGGAATTCAGTCAGATGCAAGATGCTTAAGATTCACTCCTGCGATGAGAGTCAAAGAAGAGGAGGGGTTTCCCATAGACCAAGCCAGCAAGTGAAGGAGTGCCTCACCAGCAGCTAGGACAGGAATGCACCAGCAGCTAGGACAAGAATGCCAGTCGGTCCAAAGTGATTCTTCATCAAATGCTAGTTTTTAATGCATTAATCATGCACATGGTTTTGAAGCCCCCACCCAGGCTCCACTCCACTGCCTCTGGGCCACATAGCAGGGCAGCAGTGGCAGTGGAGAGGACCACAGGGAAGCGGCGCACAGACACCGAGACACACAGAAGCAGTAGCAGCCTACATACTGTGTAGAGCAGTGATGCACCATAAGTCTGTGGAGGGGGAGGGGAAGGGGGAAGAGAGGGAAGGGATGGGTGGGGGCAGATTGAGGCCCCCATGGTGACGGAGGAAGTGGGGCAGGGGCAGGGCCTGGGGTGAATGGGGCCCTGGGGCTGGGGCAAGCCATGGGACGGAGCTGTCAGCAGCTTGTCCAGGGGCGCAAAGTGGGGGCAGCTCCCCACTGCTACATGCAAGCCTGGGGGAGTCATGGGGGGGCATGTGCCCCCCAGATTTGTGCGCAGGGCAGAGGTAAGTTGCTCACTGTGGGCTGGGGCTCTGTTCTTGCTCCCTTTGCCCTGGGAGCCACGTGCTGGCTGCACTATGCATCTGCTGCCCACCTGCCGGTGGGAGGCACAACATAGCGTCTCATGGTTCCCAGGTCAAAGGCAGCAGGGCACAGAGCTCCAGCCCACAGTGACACACCCACCTCTACCCCACACACAAATCTAGGGGGGATGTGCCCCCCATGCCTCCCCAGAGGCGTATGCAGAGGCAGGGAGCCACACCCCACCCGTACCCCATACAAACCGCCCGCAGCTCTGTCCCATGACCCGCCACTGCACCACTCCCTCCCTTAAGATGGAGGCTTCAATCTGCGCCCCACAACTCCTTCCTTCTCCTCCACCCCTCCCCCTCCACAAGCTTACTTGCTGGGTGCTGTGTGTGCATACGTGTTTCTGTGCGTCTGCCCCTCAGTCCCAAGCTACAGCCCTCCGAACCCTGCTGCTGCCTTTCACTCCTGACCCACAGTACCCTGCATCCTGCCAGGGCGTGCAGGGAACTCCCCTCCTTAGACTCCAAACCTCACACACACACACACACACACACACACACACACACACACAGCCCCCCACACCTTCATAAATTCCCCCCAACACACACACCACACCAACCCCAACCATACAAGGTACGTGCATAATTTTGAATGATTTTGAGTTTTTCTGCGCATAATTTTGAGGTTTTTAGCTGTGTGATTAAAATCGTGATTAATTGCGACTATACATATTGCAACTATATATATTTTTACATATAAAAATACAACAAACTAGGCAAAAACAATGAAAGGACAGTTCATTAGTCTTGCATTCATTAAATTAAACATACATTTCTTTCAGATTCATAAAGCAAAATCTAATCTTCTTCAGCATCCTGACAATGCATTCAGTAATACACTGGAAGTTATTTCTACATCTGAGTTAATGTTTCTAGCTAGAGTTAGAATTTCTAGGACACCACCCTGGATCCACCTCTGAATGTGGCCATCTGATTAATTTATCACGAACCTTTTCAGCAGCTTCAGTCTTACAAGTGGCAAAATAAACTCAACAACTTCAATGCAACTCACCAACTGAGAGAGACTGGTACTATTTATGGCCTCTCTTTTACATATTCTTAATTTTAATTTAAAGACCAAAGGAAGATCCTTTCAATTTTCCTACTTACAAATGGATATGAAGTTACTTTCAGCTACACTTCCACTTTAATAAAAGTATTAAGGAGTAAGCAAGCTGGCTCCATCCTTGTTGCACCACAGAGACATTCAAGGTGGGAATCCATATGGACAGGAGTATACAGTTTTAAAATCTAGGACTGACACCTGTCCAGAGACGAAACAAGTCAAGCTAGTGCCTGAGGAAAACCCTGCAGGAAGGTGGGATGGAGCACATAGGTCCTGAAAGCAGGGGGAAGGTGTGGGTTCTGAATGTGCAAGGAATGGTTGGAGGCACAGATCTAAGAGCTGGGGTAGGAGGGTGAGGGTCCAAGGATAGGGAGGGGGAACACGCATGTACAGACATGAACACAGGGGAGCTCCATGCAGCCAGGCCAGAAATGGTGCCAGAGTAGGAGCTGGAACATGAGTCTGCTCCGGGCTGTAGCACACCCCCTCCCCCCCCTCCCGATTCTGGAGCCAGCACCTACTGGCTGCATCAGCAGTTGGAGCACATGGCTAAGGTGGGCCAACCCAGCAAGTGCAGGGCCCCTTCCCACAGCACTGGCTATGTGTCAGAGGTTTCCACTCCCCAGCACTGATTAGGGCACACAGCAGGCACCTGGCAGTTACCTACTGCTTCAGGAAGATGACCTGGGCAGCTGCTGGTGGCAAAGAGGCACCATGTGGCCATGTAACACAGGCTGGCAGAGCATGGGGCACCACACAGGAGCCACTCCTAGCCAGGTCCAGCCTCTATGTATCGGGGATCGAACCTGGCTGAGGGCCTCCACACAGGTCTCCCGCCATCAGGGCTCCTGAAGCATGTGTGTACACACAAGCACCCTGACCCTGATGGTGGGGTAGGACAGAATACTGCAGAAGCCCATAGCTATGCTCCATCCCCTGTGGACATAACCTGGACAAGCCACACACAGGCTCTGGCTCTGCTGGTGCTGTGGGGGATGCTGGACAGAAGCAGCCCTACCTGCCCAGCTCTGCAGGGCAGGCCCTGGGTGAGATGCACTAAGGCCCCAGCCTCTGCTGATGCCACACAGTGCCGGGCACACAGATAGGGCTGCTTTCACCCAGTGAGTCCCGCAGCGCTTGGGAGATGGAAGTCTGGACCCACAGGCCCTGGGTGCCGCCCACCATGGCTCACCCAAGGCCTGCAGGGCCAAATTTCATCTCCTAGGCTGTTGCACAGTACTGAGCAGGCAGGCTGACAAAGCTGCCTCCACCCAGCGTCCTCTGCAGCACCAGCAGACGCCAGAGCTGCTACCCATGCCGCCTACCAACAGAAGCCGGGGCCCAAGCACAGTTCATCCAGGACCTGCCGTGCAGTGCTGCTGCCCGCCTGCGGGCTGGATAAAGATAAATTGGTGGACAGTAGCCAGCCCACAGACTGCACGTGGCCCATTCCTGTCTTCAAAACAGTCCTGGCTGCTGTTGTTTTAAGTTCCTGCCAAGATACAGACTCTGCACGAGTGGGAGGCAATTCCAGCATCCCTTCTAACTTGGTGCCTAAAGCAAGTTCCCGTCTTGCTCATCCCTAGTAACACTACCGCACCTCTGGACTGAGCACTACAAAAGAAGGCAACTCCATATAGACAGATTAGTAGAAAAGTTGGAGAGACAGTTTTAGCTTTTACTGAAGGAAAAAATGTAATTTGCCCTGACTGGATTAAAATTCTACCCTTCTCACTTGAATTTTAAACCTGAGAATGTCCCACCACCCAAAAACATGTGCAAATTACATGACCTACAAAGTACAGATGTCCTGAGCCACCAACAGTTTGAATCTTATGTAGGAACACCTAGGAGCAACGTGAAACCACTAAAACCTCTCTCTAATGCCATAAAAAGTCATGGATCTTTTTCCAAATTGCTTTTTTAAAAAGATGCTCCTTGGTTTATGTTCAAGGTCTTGGCCTTCAGGTTAAAGTGTATGATGGCTAATTTATAACTTCTTTAAAGTACAGTTTATGATGGGAAAAAATGACACACTTTAAACTAGTGTCATAAATGGCTGTATTATAACAACAGCATTTACCTTCCACTGTCAGTATTTATTAAAATGTGACCTTGGTAACATGATTA